GAGTCAACCTGAAATTCCAGCCAAATTTTCAAAGTCGATATTTTGATTCCAAATTTTTGCAATATGTTTCTTATAGTTTTCTCCAGTTTTCCCCAAAGTTTCAGCCAGATTGGAACACTCTCCGAGTTTTCGCGGAGTTTTTTCCTTTTTTGCCGACTCCCTGAATAACCCCATTAGAGGTTAGGAAAAACGAAATGAGCAATATTGGGATAAGCAGTAAGCCGAATTAGGCAAACTTCATTGTTTCTTTTCATAAATTGGAATGGTTTTCAACGAAATTCCACAAAAAATACTTCTTTTTTCAGTGAAAAATTTTCAGCAACAAAAAAACCCAATTTGAGACGGGCGGAACAAATTTGGGAGACCGAACACGTTTTTTCCCGAAATCAGGTTATGCGCAGGTGTGTGTTACGGTTTTCCAGACAGGAATCTTGCGACGCAAAAAAGCTATGCGCCTTTAATTTTTCGATTCAATTTTTCCCGATTAATCGACAAAAAATCGCGATTTCCGGCCGATTTTTCGGATTTATCTGAAATGGGTGACGCATTATTTGCAAGTCTTACACATGGAATGACCAATGACTGTCGTCTGGCAAACGCAAGATTGAAAGAAACCTTGGTAAAAATTAAGATAAAAAATTGAGAAAAAATTCAAAATTTCAGATGAACTACAACTTCAGAGCTTTTTTAATGGAGAGAACATTATCCAAGTGCCCAAATGACGACTGTGTTGGTTTTTTTTCGGGAGAAGGTAACATGCAAAAACTTTTTTTCAGAATCTCGCCTTCATTTTCATCTTGGAACCGCGCGATTACGACCGATTGCTGCTACAAGTGCATTTTGAAACCCGCCCCACAATCCTTGTTCATCACTCGTTTGCTGAGTTGCTCGAAGCGGATCGTAAAACCCGTCGATTGCTTCTGGAAGATAACAGTGTTGGATGTCAGGTTGGCCCAGAAATGGCAACCAAGATAATTGATGCATGTCCACCGGTTCACAATATTCCGTGCCAGACTGATTTCATGGTCGGTAAGAAGGATACGGGCGGTCAGACTGACGATCTCTATCGAAATGATGCTGGGTGCCAAGTGACTCCAGAGATGCCGCAGTTTGAGATCAGCGGAGTGATTCAATCGAACTCGGTGCCAGTCGTGAATAATGTAGCTGTAACTGTCGTGGAGAGACCAACAAGCCCATTGGTAACTATGGAGGTTCAAGAAGATGACGACGTTGTGGTGAGTTAGCTATTTTTCTCGAAACACTGGAAAATAAGGCAATTTTCAGTTCATCGAGACCCGCATGCGTATTCCACACGTTGAGCCGATTGTGATTGTGAAGGCTGAGGAGCCGGAAACCGAACCAGTGGAGGAAGAAGAGAATCCTCTGAATTTAAATATCACAGCAGAGCTAGAAGTGAAGACAGAGCCTATTGAAGAGGTTCACACTGCTTTGGAGAAGAGTGATTCAGAAGAAGAGCCTGTAAAAATTGTTCCAGCGCCCGAAACTCCTATTGTTAACGAACAAGTCTCTATGACCACTCCACAGCGAATTTTCAGTACTTCATCCTTCAATAGTGCTATCTCTTCTGGATCGGATTCCTTTTATACTCGTAAGGATCCTTTGAATATCCCTAAAGCTCTTAAAACTCTGAAATTCCAGCGCCCACTGCTAATACATCGGCAACCATCATGGGAAGCGCCGCCAAACGTCCCAAGTACTCGGATATTGAAATGTGTCAGAGATGCTTAGATGTGACCTACTACACTCATTTCTACGAATACGTTAGCCATATTCTAGAGTCACATGTTTCGATGTAAATCTTTAAATTCCTGATTTAAAAAAAAAACCGATTTTTCCAGTTACCGATTTAAATGTACCCTGTGTCAGAAAAAATTCAGCACTTCTCAAGGCGCCAACCGCCATCTAATGAGCCACGTCGAGGAAGGACTGGGCAATGTCCCAATGATGATTGTCCCGGAAATGTATTGGAAATTGCATCGCTGTCTTTATACTTATTATTTATTTCCAGATCCGATGATCATCTCCGCAAGTTTATTATCGCTGCCAATGAATGCTACCCAGAAAGATTCCGAAACATTCCACATCAAGAAATCGCCGAAAGCGTAGAGTTTCTCCACCAATTTCCATATTCAAAACATCATTTTCAGATCGAAAAGCTTCCATAGACCAGAATCCCTAACGTTTTATCGCCTGGACCATAATATATCAGCAATAGTATAATTTTTCTTCGGTTTTCTAATAAATTTCGATGTTTTCGCTATTCCTTGTGTGTAAGCGCGCTCTGTCGCTCTCGGTTGTATTTTATTTTCAAATTTAATAATTTTGCAACATTTTTAAGATGCTCGACACTTTTATTCGATTAGCGCAGGAAATTCAGAAGATCGACGACGATGTCAAAGAGCTGAGGCAGGCGGAGCAAGCAGTGCAGAGAGGTGGAAAAATGGGGCTGAAAGTTTCGCAAATTGACGGATTCCATGAGAAATTGAGGGTATTTTAGAGAGAAAATGAATAAAATGGTAAAACTTTCTTAATTTTCAGGTAAAAATGGACTCGGCAGTGCAACGAAAAATGGATCAGTTTGATGAGAAGTCGAATGAGCTCGATAGCATTTTCAGAAGTCTTCTATGTATGAGTTCAGAGGCTCCGACAGCGGAAAACTTTGAAAAAGATACAGAAATCGTGTCAGGATATTGTTCAGAGGTGAATATTATGCTTGTCTGAGAAAAAAAAGGTTGAGACGCAGAGAAAATGTGTCTGCGTCTCCACCGTTTGTGTGCTATTTAGGCTCTCCGCTTCGATATCGCTACCGTATTCAGACTGAAAAAATACTCTCTAACTTTTTTTCTCAGACAAGCATAATAGTTTTGCTTTTTTTTTAATTTTGTATTTTCGCGCCAAATTATCGCAATTTTCAGCTCAAAGCCTTCCTCCAATCGGATCGAAGTGGCGACTGCCCGCGAATCTCATTATCAGTGGAGCAATCCGTTCGGAGGCTTCTCAACAATCCATGATTTTGCATTCTTCTAATAAAATCTTCAAATTTTCTTTATTTTTATCTGATTTTTTTTGCCGTTTTGATCTGAATTATTATTTTTTTTTTGTTCAGAAATGTGTTGTGGTGCTCCTGAATTCCCAATATTTCTTTAAAACTGTTTCCCGGCGATATCGCGTCAAAACCTTTCCTCATCTAAGAGTAAGATCCTTCAGGGTATTACGGTAGAATTTTAAAGGAGCATGCTTAAAAGCGACGGGGTTTCGCAACGATCAGAATTTTCTGTTTTTTTTAATCGAACATGAAGAAAAATATCGCCTTTTTGGTGTCCTAAATAACCGACATTGATGCAGAATAGTAATTTTTAACCGAATTTCCAGATGAACGTTCCCAGCGATGCATTCTATGATAAACTGAGCACACACAGAGATAATAATCATCCGTTTGATTATTCATATATGAAGTTTGTGCTGGAAATTAAAAAAGAAATAGAGAACAAATATTTTTCAGCATGCGAGACGAGCTGAGTTCCAGTTGGTTCCCGTACAATTCACAGATCGCTCGAGCGCTGCTTCGCGATAAGCATGTCATGTTCATCGGGGATTCCTGTATGTAAAAAACAGCAAAAGTTCGGGAATTTTGAACTTATAAACCCTAACTTTTCTTCAAAAGTTCCCAAAATGCCAATTTTGCAGTGGTTCGTGGAATGTACAAGGACATGCTGGCACTATTACAAACCGGCAATCTAAGCCAAATACATGAGCTCCGTGTTAGTAACGAAGACTCGATTCATGGAGATAAACATGTCAGTCTTCGGGAACATCCGGATGGATAGATATAGTGATTTCAAGAAAAATTTACAAAAATTCGAAAATTGTTGAAATCTGAATTTTAAGCAAATCGGAAAATATGAAATTTCGAAAATCTAATTTTTCGACAGTTGAAGTTAGTTGTTTATGTCTTTTTTCGAACTTTTGAATACAAAAAAAAAGTATTGAAAAATGCAAAATCCGAAATTCTAAATTCTGAAATTTCAGATTTTACGATTATCTTTTTCCATTTTTTCAAAAATCCTTAAAGGATTCCAGACATGAAAAATTTCAAAGTTCTAGTGTTTTGATATATGACACAGTACAGTCAGAAAATATGTATGGCCATCCAACCATAACTCCATTTTGCTGTACAAGCGAGAACGCGAACGTTCTTCCAAGCGGCGGCACACTCTCGTTTCATACACGTTTTAGCGGCAGTAGACGACAGGCGCCGCGTGGTGTAGAGGTGAACGCGCTTGTCTATCGGTCGCGCATCGCTGGTTCGATTCCCATCCGGTTTCGTTTTTTTTCTGTTTTCATGCGGCGACATCATGGAATCACAGGTCCTGCGCGAAGATGCGCATAAAGGACCCGATCCATATGCGATCCTCTAGAAGTCCGTTTGACACATATCGCGAACAATGAGCTGCGATGAGTCTCATATGTGTGCGATGCGGGAGAGGCTGAATCGAGTGTTCCGAATGCGCGCGTATCCTAGATGGATTCTAGGTGGGTGGGCGATGTGTGCGATATGGGTCTGATACGGTAGGCCGACTACAACACTCCGAAATCCCGGATGCGCGCATTGTTTACCGTAAATCCACACCGGCAACTTTGTCAATTTTTCGTCAATTCGAGCCTACATTTCTGGTTTTTCGATTATTCCTTCGATGTTCTTTTGTGAAAAAGAGTTATGGCAGACTAAAAAATCGCTGAATTCTTGCAGAAACATGTCTTTCACTCGTTAATTGCTATGTTTTTCGCCAAAATAGGTGATATTGAGATTTTTTATTTCACTTTGTAATTATTGTAAAAATCGTATTTTCAGGTGGAATAAAAGGTAAGTTGGTAAGTATACAATAATTACAAAGTGTAAATTATAAAAATTTTCAATTTTTCATGCAATTTCAAAAAAAGTGAGACATGTGAAAGTGAGACATATTTTTGAACAAATGAAAAAAAAACAATTTTTAGCGAATTTTTTCCCATTTTGTTCTGTTTTTGATTGCATATCAAATTTAAATAGAAACTGCCCTAAGTCTTTTTCAAAACCAAAACATTGACTTCCGAAAAATCAGTAATATGTCGTTCAAAATATAAAAGAATATGGAATAATAAAGGAAAAGTACGAAATCGGAAGACATGAACAAAATCACATCACAATAGAACTTAACTGATACTTCTAGGAACCCCCAACCAACTTTTTAGTTCGTTTCATCGAGTGCCAGCAAGCCAGGCGAGGAGATGCTTTGCGGCGGCGGTGTGCCCCATATGCCCCGTATATGCCCCATACCGGCGTCCTTTCCCTGTACCCAATTCATCGGCGCGTCCTCCGTCGCCCATCCATTATGCGTATGCGCGCCCAGGACCTGTGATGACAGAATATCGACAAAAAGCCTGGAATTATCGCCTTACATTGAAGAAATCTAGTGTACTCTAAAAAAAAATAAATGCTCGTCAAGTAACGCGCATTGGGTCGCAATCGCACGATTTTCCGTCAGAATATATGATCTCGCTCCAAGAAAATTCCGTAGACTTTCGTGTCTGGCCTCCTTTACAGAGGGTACGATGAATTCGAACTTTCCTGAAATCGAACTGTCCCGAAATCGAACTCGCTCGAATCAGAACTGTCCCTTTTTCGAACACGCCCAGAACAGAACAAGAACAGAATCGAACTGCTACGAATTCGAACTATGCGGTGTCGAACTGTCCCGGATTGGAACTCTGTTAGCAACAGGGCGCGCTTGCTTTTTAAAAATTATTTTTGTCAACAAATTTTATTATTTTTTTGTCAACAAATTTTAATTATTTTTTACTACACTTCAGGTGAATGGAAACAGAAAACTCACCAACGCATTGAAGGACGGGAGACTCATCAAGACGCTAATAAATCAGCCAATTCCGCCAACGACTGATCTCAATTTATTAGACACCATCTCCGACGCCCATTCTGTTCAAAAGTCATGAATTCTTTCTTTTTTAACACATATTTTCTATTTTCAAATTTTTTTTCCTCACTGTATTCAAATAAAAACGCTTTTTTTGTTGTAAAAATGATATTTTTCTGGAGAAAACTTGAAATTTTCAAAAGTAATGCAAGCGCGCTCTGTTGCTAACAGAGTTCCAATTCGGGACAGTTCGACACCGAATCAGTTCGAGTTGGAACAGTTCGATTCCGTTCTTGTTCTGTTCTGGGCGTGTTCGAAAAAGCGACAGTTCTAATTCGAACGAGTTCGATTTCGGGACAGTTCGATTTCGGGAAAGTTCGAATTCATCGTACCCTCCCTTTACAATGTATTTTCGAATGAAAAAAAATAGAGAAAAATGAGTCAAAAGGGAATTGCAGAGAATTGCAGTTTCGAAAATCTAAGCTTTTAAGAATTTTCAGATTCACATGCCCCTCAAATTCCGAAAAAAAGTTTCCGGAAAAAGTGGTCGGAGCCTAAATAGCACAGGTTTACTCATTCCCTCATGCAAATGTGCAAAGAAACAAGCTCCGCCCACTTTTCTCGGGAATTTCAATTTTTTTGGAATCTGAGAGGCCTCAATAGTCGGAAAATCCTCAAAATTTTAGGTTATCGAAATTTCAATCCTCAGAATTTCAAAAACTAGAATTTTCTTTTTTGACTTCTGAAAACTATCGGAAAAACCAAACATTAGATTATTCAAATTTCGAAATATCGAGAAATGCGAAAATTTGAATTTTGAGCTTGACAATCAGAACAGAGAAAGCTGAAAATCTTTAAAAAAAAAGAAATTTTCAGATCGATTTCATCGAGCTGGCAGCAAATCGAGTGTTCCGTCAAGCCCGCGAATTTCAATCGAATCAACACCTAATTCAGTATTTTTTCACAAATCGAGCGATGAGAGACGATTTGGATAAGACGTGTCTTCTGATAGAAGCAACCGACGAACGACCAGATGTCGTTGTGATCAATTCGGCAATTTGGGATATTTCTCGATATCCAACACGAATGACTAGGAAATGGACATCAGAACATATGGATGATTTAGAGGAAGAAATCAATGTGGCTGATGATTATTTCAATCGAATTGTTATGTTTTGTAGAAGAATGCGGGTCCTGTTGCCGCCAAGTTCTACAGTAAGAATCAAATTTTTTTTCAAAAAAAAACATCGAGAACTTGATTTTATTTAATTAATGCCGCGTTCAAAGTATATTTCCAGGAGTTGGCATCGCCGAAAATGCATTACAGATTCCTCGAGCGTTGGATTTCGAAGCCTCTTCAAATCGAAAAAATGCTAATAGGAAACGAAGAATTTGATGGAGACAAGACATTTCACATTGACTATTCGGTAGTTTGTAGTCTTCAAAAACCTCACGACGAACGAGTTGCTGAAAATATAGAATTTTTGGTGTTTCAAAAATTCGTGGAATTTCTTAGTTTTCGGAAAATTGGAATTTCTGAAATTTTCAAAATTTCCTGAATTTTTGAGTTTCTGAATTTTTAAATGTTCGAATTTCCAAATTTTTTGGAATTAAAAAATTTTTGAAAATTGACATCTGTGGCCTCGTTTTGTTTTTCTAGGCCATCATCGTAATCCTTACATGAGTTTCCTCATTTCGATGCTTCAAT